GAGTCCAGACAGACAAGGTGAGGAAAGGAAACAAAGCAGTGCAATACTGCCCGCATCGGAGCTTCATGCATGGGCGAGTGGCAGCTTGAGCTCACGAAACCTCAAACACAGGGTCCGTGCATGTTAGGTCAATCAATGCGGCAATGACAAAACAAGTTCCAGCATCATAAATTGATCGGTGGAAGGGCTGACACCTGCAGCTGACAATACTGAAGCAAGCTGCTGCGCCATCCCACTGGAATCTGTTACGGCTTCCGCGTTCAATAGATCCTCGCCAGCGGGACAGACAGTTCTGGTCCCTGACAGTCTGTGCTCCTGTGCTGAAGCATCTCTGCAGAAGCTCGATGGCAGGTCCTTGCCCTTGAAACCTTTGAGTTTGCGGCGAAACCAGTTGGGATTCCGCAGTGATCCCTCCATTGACAGCAGGGCCTGGGGGCCACAGGGTGCAGTCCATAGCGGGCACATGGGTGAGCACTTCGAAGAATGGTGAGCACTATGGGATCCCGCACATGTGGGATTCATTTGCAGCCTTGACCGAACAAAACGTGTTAAAACTGCCCAGGCACATAGCATCGCACCTCGGCACACACACTAAATCAGCGATCAGGTCTAGGGAAACATGTCGCGGCATGCCAAAACATCCGGTACAAGGGGGAACTGCCAAGCAGCCCCTGGCACAGGCTGCCCGTTTTCGTCTTGCACGGCTATCACCGGCTGTGGCTCGAATCTGCAGTAGGAGCAAGCTTTGTCGGTCATGTCTCTACTCAGCCTACACTGGCATGTGAGTTTTGACGTCCTACCGTCCTACCGTCCTCTTGGACTAAGCCTGGTTTAGAGATACTGGCACTGGTGCCTATCCCACTGGCTGCTCGAGGCGCAACAAGCGGAACGAAACCCATGAGACAAAGCCGTCAAGCACAGATGCAATTTCGATCACCTGTAATGCATGCCACGTGCTCTCCATGCTGCACAGATGCGGAACTCCTTCCGTCACGACTAACGGTACCCTTAGATTCACGTGAATGTGCGTGCTTGCGCACTGCCCAAACAAACGATCGGCAGGAAAAGAGATCAGGCATGGGAGCTAATTGCTGATGTCAAGAGTCTTCGTTGAAACCTGGCACGACTGCGAATGTCGAGATGCCGCACTCCAAACTACTTCTCCGAAACATCGGTGCAACAGGCCTGCACAGAAGAAACCCTTGGTGACAGAGAGATCGGGTAGCGGAACTTCTGGACCGGCAGAGGATAGAGATTCCTGCATCTTGTGCTAATTTGACGCCCTCTCCTTCGGTCAGGTCTGAAAGCATGCACAGCATCCTCGGAGAATAGACCGGGTCGTTCCAGGGACTGAACACGAGCGCACTGTCAGAGAACACGATGTTCACGTGGTCCACCTGCAAAGAGACGTTGCCAGGCTTTTTCCGATGATCCAGATGGCACCAGCAGTGCATCCTAGGCGCGCTGGTGCTGTTTACACCCAGGCATGTGAATCTTGCCTGAATTGGGCGGAAAAAACGAAACGAATCGAATCGCCGGTCGCCCGGTGACAATGTCAAGGCATCCTGGCTAAGCAAGCTGGACTCTGAGCCCACAACTATGCCACTTGCATCGGAAGGCTCAGACTGGGGGCAGTTCCTTCAGTTGGTGCTGATGAAACAACTTAAGAACAGCAGCACAATCTCACATGCCTTCACGGCACACGCAAAGGTCATCTCTGTCCGCAACAAGCCGTGTGCCGCGTGTATACGGCTTCCTGTGCGATGACCTAGATCGTTTGACACCCTGGTCGCCCTGCAAGGCGACCATGTCAGCGTACCAACCCAGTGCTTCCGAACGCCTATCCCGGCGTCGACCCTCTGTACGAACAAATCGAACAAGAGTTCAAAGTTTCTTCTTTTTGAGGAGGGAACCGAAAACATCATACAGAATTCTGATCTGGACGTCCTCTTCCACTGTTTACAGCCGCTTGAAGAGATTTTGTTTGGGTATCGCTGGTATCTCGGTCCTACCTTCCTCCGATCCCGCAGCGTTTCCCCTCCTAACACCTACCCCGCAACCAGAGCCTGCGATACTGACAGCACAACCTGTGACGGTTGAAAGGCCGAGTTCCCGATGAAAAACGATCCACTCGAGCTAACTGCTGCATCTTCCACATCTCGGTCATTAGCATTTCGAGCCGCGCTTCTTCTCAGTCAGTTTCCCGGGCACAAGATTGCACAACCCTTCTTCCAATCCTGAAACATTCGCATGCTTTGGAGTCTTCGACCCTGTTTGTGTCGCGACCTACTGATCTACTGCTCCACTCTCAGACGGCCTTCAATCGGGAAGTCTTGGCACTGAAACCCTGGAAGGTGCAGGAAGCTGAGGGGACAGGAAAGTCTTTCAACACGGAATGTGGCATGCATCTACCGACTCCAAGGAAAGCAATGCATTCGAGAGAACCAAGGCAGCAAGGCGGTTACCTCGACCAGTCCCACAACTTCAACCCAGATCGCTGACCCAGGTCTAAAGAGCACAAAGTCATCGCCCAGCGTCAACTCCGCCACCTGAGGCATACAAGCGGAGGATCACCCCATGGCAGGACATGGCATTCCGGACTCCCGGTTGCGCCTTCTGCCCTCGTCTTTCGTACTCCTCCACACGAGAAGCGTCCCCTTCCGGCGGCCACCCGGGATCGGGATTCGCAAAGGCCACGATCTCAGCTCTGCATGTCTCTGCATAAGAAGACAAGGACAACTCCTCGAAATGTTTTTTTGAGAGTCTGAGGACCTGGCCCTGCGACCTGGGGCTGGCAGCCCGTTCATGTCGCGAAGGAGCAGCGTCGGCTGCCAGGGGAACGGGTCTCCCACCTGCACGGGGACAGGCCCGGCGACTCACATTCAGGGCCGCAAGGCCCCGGCCCCCTTTCAGAGCAGACGAGCGGACCTTGACGTTGGTGGGTGGAACAACGGGGTCAAGGTCCGGCCTGGAATCCAGCACTCACGGAGTTCAGTACTCCCAACAGCTAGAGATGCCAACAAGAGACGTGCTCAGGTTCACCACCTCGATGCTCGCAACAGGCGTGGAGACCAGCACCGAAGAGCCCTGGAAAAAAGAAGCGTGCACAAGTTCTCTTCACAGCTCCTCAGGTGTCAAAGCCTCGGTAGAATCGAAGCCACCCGCAGATGGTACGAGCGTGTACAAACCCGCAGGGCCCTGGATCGCGAAGTCCGACAGCGTGACAAGTCCCAAGTCATTTGTTGGACCTCGGCCGGTGATGAGAATATTCCGCATGTCACGGACGGCCGCCGTTGCTTGGGCAAGTACCTGCATTGTAGAGAATATCGTACTTGCAGACCTGCCGGGTGTTCCGTGCGGAAACGCATCAGCGCACGTCGTCCACTCCCGACTTTAGTGACACTTGTTGAGGCTCTGGCATGGTGTAGACGTCGTGCTTCCAGCGTGCCCACCATGGCATCCATCTGTGCCTGCAAAGGTGTTCATGCGCGGTGCAAAGATGGAACCACGTCTTCCAATTCTGCCCTGCCTTGGAGCACGGAAGTGGCCCGTCACTAACAAAGTTGGAGGCACGCACCTATGAAGGTGCAGATCTCTCGACACTCAGGGCAGGCAGGGCAGCAGCATGCAGTGATTCGCACCTCTACCTCCGCATTGACCATTGGACTCCCAGTGTCATCCACGGCCCAAAGCCGCTGTGATCGATTTGGGAGACTGCCTGTTCCTCGGAAGCAGAAGACCGGCTGGGAGCTGAGTTCCAGAGAGAAAAGAAACCTGCTCAAGATCTTCAAAAGGAGCCCAAGTTTCCGATGAAGAAACTTTTCATGTCCGCCGAAAGCTCTCCGGAGACCCATGCGGTGGGCGGAGGACTCGCAAAACGCACCTTCAAAGAGGAGGCTCCAGTCATGTATGCAGTCATGAAGCGAAAGTCGGGCTGACCTACTGCACACACAGCCGCACATGCAGCCCGTCAACATGCACAATGCTGACGACTTCAACATGTGCATGGTGAGATGCTCACCTGCCGCAATAGCTTTCTTGCTGGCCAAGGAACAGCCTTTAAGCGAGGCTCGGGGGAAGGCACCGTCTTCAACAGTGCAAACCTTTGGAGAGGAACGCTTCAGATTGCAGGTGGCCCGACAGTCTCCTGTAATGTATGTTTGCAGCAAGGAGGCACGAAGTAAACATAGATCAAAGAGAAAGCGACGACATTCAAACAACGAACCTTACTGCAGCCCGCTCACAGCACATCTTCATGAACTTGCACGGGCGTCCGCAGCACAAGAGCGATGAGCATCCAAGGACATCTGTCAGGAAATCTGTCAAGGACAACTTCTTGCCGCCAGGACTCTCTAACTTTGTCTTCGACAAAGTCACTTATCGTGAAGAAGCATACCTGGCCACACAGTCTTGACGTTCAGACCGCCCTGCTTGTGCCTCGTGTTCATCCTGGGCTCTGATCGCTACGGAATTCAGGACTGGGCCCTGGGGCACTTCATGAGAAAGCAGCTTGGCTGCTTAGGAAGCTTGCTTTGCCGCTGCTTACTGCCGGCAGCTTTGCTGTAGTTACTGAAACCGGTTCTGCTTCTGTCAGTGATGCTTCTCCGAAGACTCAACTGTCTTTCTGCCACTCCCTCCGGCACGCAAGCGCCTTGTTCACACCCTGCGGCACGTGGTGAGCACCAAAAGCCTGGACAAGCTGGGACATGGTCAAACTACCATCTCCATGCCTCCCGTGCCAACCTGACCCTGCTACTTCGCGTAGCACGTCGACAATCGAAGACAAACTGCAAACACCCTTGGCCTGTTGCTTCTTCTTTGGCTCCAGGTCATCGGGAGCAACAGCCATGGCGCATATTAGCGTCTGAGGCTGCAGAAAGGCTGGCAAGCACATGCAGCAGGATATCGACACGACAGGCACGGCAAGCACGCTGCATGCGCTGTTGCACCACAGAAGCGCGACTTTAGCAAACCGATGGTATATGATCTGAGGAACGAACTTCTCTCATCGTTGACTGCAGGTGACCTGGCGCCGTAATGATCCAACATGATCCAACCAAACAAATGCTGCGCAAAGGCTCAAAGGCTACGCAAACTCCCGGATCAATGCACCTCTGCACAAGCAACTTCGCAAGCCTCTCGACCTCCAAACAGCAAGCGGCTCATCGTGACCCAGCTTCGAACTTCATGAAACTTCTGACCGAGTCTCCGGCCAGTTCTGTTTCTGTGCCTCGGCAACTTCTCACGCGCCGGTACAGAAACACTCCGTGGCCTCAGGACGCCGCCATCAGCCTGAAGCCCACAGGCTCGACACTCTTCCTGCAGGAGGCCAAGCACACCTGAGAGTCTGAGAGCTCCGGCCACGGCTTCAAGGACCCTTCGACTTTTAACGCGCTGAGGCCTGCACTTCTCGGGTCCGCGTCCTCAACACGACAGCAGCGCGGACTACGTCGTAATGCAGTAGGTGCAAGAACAACTTCTCCTCGGGATCTGCGACATTCCCTGCATTCAGCCTCGCATCAGCACAGGGGCACAGAGGCAACATGGCAGTGGAAGTCTCGAGGCAGCTGCCCATTCTGGCACAAACTTGCTTTTGCTCCGAGATCTCCCTGTTGGAAGCGCGCGTCCGCAGGGTCTGACGATCTCGAATCTCGCTGCGTCGACGCAGCACCTGGACTTTGCGGGTTGCGGGCCCACACGCCCGGTAGTCGCCCCCGGTGTCGCCCGGCGGTGCCTTTCGCCGCGGGGGGCTTCTCGTTGAAGGCTGCGGCCTCGCGCGAGGCCAAGGCCCAGTCAACATGTCAATTTCGCGAAGCCTGGCAATGAGCTAAAAAACTCCCCCGTTTTTTTGCGGCCGGTGGCACATTTCATAAGCAGTGCGCGCAAAGTACAGGCCAGCAAAACTGTCAAGTCATCGATGTCTGCCCGTGCTTCGAGAAGGAGCTTGACCTCGTCATAGAGACAAACGGCAGCTAGCATGAACCGAACAGGCTCGTGCTTGGCACCAAGCGATCGTGTGGGAAGCATCGACGGCCGAACCAACGAACGGAAGGTGACCAAAAGCATCCGTGGAGGCTGGATGAGCAAGCACGTGCTGGACCTCCCGTGCACGTGAAGGCAAAGGCAGCAAAGGTCGAATCCAAGGTCCGGGCTGCACTTTGGCCGCCCAGAAGTTCCACCTCAGCCGCACGAGCGCTTCGAAGAAGCGTTCCGGATCCGTTCAGCTTGGCGGCTTCTCCTCTTTCTGCTCCTCTCTTCCCGCTCCTGCGCTTCCCTCCTCCCTCCTCCGTCTTCGTCCGGCCGGTGCCGGTACATGCGCGGCTTCTGTTGGCCCTCATGGGTTCCAGGCTTGCTGCAGGCAGCGGCGTGCGACATTCACGTCGGACCTCGCCACGGCCTGCGGACGCCACATATCTCTGCAGGTCCTGCCGTAGTCTGGACATTTGAAGCATCACGAAACGCCTCCCCGAAAATGCCTGCCACGGCATCCAGCACTGTCCTTGGCGGCACGGAAGTGGCAGACCCAGTCCGGTGCGTTCGATGCAATGGGAAGGTCCAAAGGTCCAGACTCGCTGGTTACCGTGTTCCCGAGACTTTCCTCGGGCTCTACGGTGACCGGATCGCTCTCGTCCTGATGGGGCACCAGGGCACCACACGCGCCGCACAAGACCAGAAAAAGGTCGCGAAGCTCCTTCTCCGGCTCAGGGAGCTGGATTTCGGATGCACTGCGCTCGGCATCCTCTTCCAAGTCCTCCAAGCGCTGGCACGGCCCAGCACTCTTCGGCCCGCAGCCGCCAGCCGACTCCTCGCCGCCTTCGAGGAGCCTCCGCAGTGCCACAGATTATTCGGGCCTCTGCCTTCAGCTGCTGCCCGGCCCGGACCCGTCCTGGCGGTGCTGGTGCTCTCCGCCGGCTCGGGCTCCCGCTCCCGCCACCAGACCTTCCAGCACGGCCCCCGGCGCAGCGCATGGCGCAGCCGCTTCGATTCTCGACTTGTGGCGCGGGGGCCGTGCATCTCCGTCGCTGAAGATGAGGCGATTGCCCTCTGCCAGCTTTCCCTGAAAAGGCTCCGATGCGCGAAGCGGCAGCAGTGCAGCAGTTCCGGGCTCCTGAAACATCTCTCCATCCAGCTCCAGGTTGAACCTCTGCTAGAAGCACACAACTGTGCTCACCCTCTCGAAGCCAAGCCCGGCGCGCAACATCGCTGGTGGCTTGCAGGTAGCTCTGCAGCCCACTCTGCCAGCGAATCTCCTCCAGGCGCAGCAAGCTTTCACAATCTGCCCGAGCCCTTGCTTGGACACCGTCCGTCAAACGCAGGCATTAAGAAAGCCTGCGTGTGGCATGCATCGCCCGTCTTTGAGGGCCTACTGCAGTCAAGCTGCTCCAGCTTTGATGGTGCAGCATCCAGACCTCAGCTTTCCCAGCCAATGCCTGCTTCCTGCGACATGACTATCTCCAAGGCACCCGCGAATAGTTCCAAACGCCATCGAACTCAAAGGGCCGAGTCTGACTCGAAACATCCTCGCACCACTGCAGCAAGTCTCTGCGCACCGCACCTGTCCCTGCGATCAATCAGCCGTGCCACATTCCCTCAAAACCTTGGGTCCAATCATTCTTGAGGCCAAGTCTGCTCATGCAGTCAGCAATGGCTCGAAGCTCTTGACGTCACAATTATGCACCCGCACTTCTCCCAAAGCCCATTAAGGAAGACAAACACTCAAGACTCCGAGACATCTACTGCAGGCCGTCCACGATTTACATCTCGTGCGACAAGAGAAGTGCCCAGCAGCTGATAACAGTAATCAACTACAGTGCTACCTCTCTGCTCAAAGGGTCCTCTGTGGTCCAACAGTGGCTCCAAAAGTACCTCGCCCAGCAGTTGACTGTGTTTCGTCCGGACGGGGACACTTGCTCGCTTGCGCACTGCTCGGCATCGAACCGTGAGAGGCTGGTATACTTGCTGCACCTAGAGACATCTACACGCGAGGAAACAGAGCTGATGCAAGCATCTAGGGTGCCGACAGCTGCTCAAGCCTGAGGTCTGGATGCAGAATTAGCCATCGTGGCGTCCATGAGCGCTTAAGGGTCAAGCGTGTACTTTCGGCTATCCGCTGGATCAAGCCGAAGTGTATGAGCGACATCCTCCGGCAAACCAGATGCATCACGTCGTGGAATACTTGACACAAAACCGAAGCATGCATGGACGTCTGCTGGTGCATGTCGGCTTGCAGGCTCCGTCCTGATCGGATGAAGTTGTCCGGCCTGCATATGCTGGTTCTTTATAGGATCTGGAGAACAAGTCAAGTCTTCTTGCTCTGGGACCGGCGCTGAAGTTTGACCTGGCTTCGTCCAGCTGCGCCACTGCAGTCGAGGACCAGGTCCGCCAATCCTGCTCAGCCTCGTGCAACAGCCGTGTCATGTTATGAGGTTAGTGGCGTGCTGCTCCGCAGAGGACATGCCGCTGACTGAAGTGACCCACCGGTATCGTCCTTAGCCAGCGGCATAGCCAAGGGCTCCTGGCCAATGGTAGCACATCACCAAAAGATTCTGCAGGCCTGCCTACGTTGATCTCAGAAGCTCGGAATCTTCCCCTCGACGCCTCGAAGACCGGCAATGGGAGCGTCGATGGCATCGCCCTGCCCGGACGTGAAGGCACCACACTGCCTCCGTCAGGCATCCACTTGGCAGAAGGTCAGGTAAGTCATTTGCAGAATGTCTGCTGCCTGTAACACTCGATAGCCTGGTGCCACCACATGTCATGCGCCGGTGGATGCACCTACATGGCAGAAAGCGAGTGAATACGATTGAATGCTTTACAGCAGCTCTACACATTGGGCTGCGAGTGAAAAACCCTGACAATGCACACATCGGAAAACGATGCCGTGGCTAAGTATGTCGACAAGCAGACTGAGATGGGCGCGGGTGCATCGGAAGGCTGTTGCTTGATGACTAAGCGTCGTAGTGCAACAGCCACAGCCGCAGGGTTGAAGAGAAGATCCTGCGACAGCAAAGCGGCTCCTGTCTAGCCGTCGCGTACAACATCTAAACCCGTCACAGAATCTACTTCTGGAGACCATAATAACCGAGGCGACATAACTTTTCCAACGCGTCTCGCTTCAATGCGCCTGCGGAGGAATAGAGCCGATTGGGATCTACAAGGGTGACACGACGTCTTCCCTGCAAGGCTCCAAGAGCTCTTGCCGGAAGCTCCGCCTTGATGATGCAGGGAACAAAGGTAATGCGAAGATAGAGGGCGCACATGCCTGCATCATCATACAAAAGTATGTAGCGAGTACGGGCAGATGGAGCAGGCGACTCGATCCTGAACCCTTCAACATCCTGCAAGACTAAAAAATACACAGTCAATCGTAGTTGACCCGTCCACCTGCGTGCTAGAATCGTTAGCAGTCACAGGCTCCAGACGCTATGTTGGTCTTTCTCAACTTGGCCTGGACAACGTATAAGTATATACATCGGCAAGAATCCTTGTAAAACGACTTGAACGGATTTTGGTCCGGCTTGCCTTCAAAAAGGAACCACTTTCGGGAAGCCCCCGGGCGTCACGCCTTGCGGGGCCATCAGTCCACACAGGCCGAGCTCACCTTGAACCAGCTGGTGGGCGGCGGCCTGAAGGATGCTGGATGTAGCTTTCCAGAAAATAGTGGGCATAGTCTTAAGAAGCTAAGTTCTAGATGCTTGCCTCTGTCAGCAGAAACCGTGGTTTTGCTCTCCTTGGCTTGACACATGTTCAGGATTCTACAACCTCGGCACCGGCATCCGAAAACCCATCGGATTTCTTGAGCTCGCTCATGCTACGATCAACCTGCAGGCGAGCAACCACGGCGTCTTGCGGCCTCCTCGGTACAGCATTTTGGGGTGCCCCGCCTGTCCACTTGGTTCTCCTGTCTGGGCCCAGGCCTACTTCTCCTCGTCTGGACGAATCCAAAAATGCCTGAAATTAGCTTGACCCTGTAACCTTCGGGCCAAGTCTCTTCGGCTGCAAAGGTGCCTTGGCTCTGCCATTTTGCTTCGGAGCTTGCCGGTGTGACGGCGAGGCATCTTGCAGAATCAGATAGGACGAGTTTTCCTTCTCTGGAAGAGCCTGCACACCATGGCTTTGGAGCATTCATACCAATGCCCGGGCTGATCTGCGGTCTGGCCTTGCAAACAAAGCGGATGAGGGCAGCGAGGCCCAGCAATCCAAAGAGCAAGAAGTTTGAGGTCATCTCCGTGTCTTCATCTTTCTCTTCTTCCTTCTGTTTCTCCTCCTCTCTCCTGGACAGCGCACATGAAAGTAAAAGCCTGCTAAACACCGCGTGATACACAGAAAAGTGTGTCAAAGGAGCGTCTCGGCCTCTTCAACCTTTCCTCCACTTCCGCCTCAATTCTTGCCTTCACGTCCTCTTCGTCTGACGCATCTCGTGGTGCCTGCAAGCATGCGGTTGCAGCCGGAAGTGCACCGAAGCCGGGCTCGAAGCTTAATTCAGCCAATGCGCGTCACTGCTCGGTGCGGACGTCGGGTCCGAGGCCAGGAGGTTTGGTCCTGCCTCGAAACGGTGGAAATCTCAACAGGCTGGATTCGAGCCGACATGCTCGGATGGCTTCCATCCTTGACATCAAAGCTCTCGATGCCCAAGTCGCTGGGCTTGTCTGTCACCCTGCATGGCACGATTCGGGGCCACAAGTCTGTAAGACATCCCGACTAAATGAGTGCTGCACTGGCTCTTGCTAGGATGTATGTATGTATGCATGCATGTATGTATGTGACGGCGGTAACATGTGTATATATATATATATATGTAGGTATGTATGTAATGTATGTACATGAACGTGTACATATACATATACACATACATATTCTATACATGTACATATACATATACATATACATATACATATACATATACATGTACATGTACATGTACATGTACATGTACACATACATATATACATATATATATATACATACATATACAAATATGTACATATACATATACATATACATAGACTTATACATTCATATACATACATACATACATACATTCATACATGTATATATATATATATATTCTGATACGTTATATACTATATACGAATTTTGTTATATTATATATATATATATATATATATATATATATATATATATATATCATATATGATTGTTAAATGAATATATATATATATATATATGTAGAAGGATGAGAGCTGTTCTTGATGATACCTGCAGCCTGCAGCCCGTAACTCGAGAATCGCCTTCAGCTTCGACCTTGCCGGCTCTTGCGCGCAAACGGTCATAAAACTATGGCTCTTGCGCTCGCGCGCCCTTGCGCCTTGCGCACGTTTGCGGAGCGCTGATTTTGGAGCCGGTTCTAAACCTGCATCAAAATATTGAAGTGCGCTGGTAGTCTACGGTCAAAGGACGGGGGTTTAGGACAATTCCAGAACCGTATGTATTCATATGTATATATATATATATGTATATATACATAGACATATACATATATATATATATGCACATATGTGTTTATGCGTATCATTATCTGTGTATGACTCTCTGCGTACTGTATTTGTAGGTGTATGTGTAGGCATTCGTGTAGGTGTATGTGGAGGTGTAAGCATATGCACATGCGTGCGTCTGTGTGCCTGTATGTGTGCGTACATATGTGTTTGCATATATATATATATATATATATATATATACACATATTTAAATCTATTTATACTTGTATTTATATCATACAGATCATTATATACCAAAGGTTTAATTCATTTTCATACATATAAATATATACATATACACATGTATGTCAACGTATGATGTATCACAATCACGCACATGCCGTACATGCCACATAAGAAAACTGCACTTGCATCCAAGTGGCGACCCTCTGAGAGCCTGCACGAAGCAACCAATCACATGCCAAACTGCGGCAGAAAATACGGGCTCTTAAGAAAGAACAGAAGATAAGCTGGGATTCGAAAACTGGCGGGAAGATCACAGTCGGGCTACGGGTAGCACGCTCAAATCACGGCTAAAGCAGCTTGCGACTCTGCCTCGTCGGCGGCGGCAGGCAGTGCTGCCAGAAAAACAGCCGCTACCCAGAGCTGGCGCATGACCTGAAGACACGCTTGGGAGGAGCCTAGAAAGCCTAGAACTGCTAGCTGCAAGTTTACAGGTATTGCTGCAAACCGTCAGGGAGGGTGGATGTTTCGATTTGGTGCTGCTTATTAAGCACTGCACACGCATTTTGCAGCACTGGGCGGTCAGGTCAAGGGCTCACAGCAACTTCGACATCTTCGGTCTCGTCAGGCCCCTCTTCGGTCTCTCCTACGTAAGGTCTGTGCAGCGGGAATTGTGCACGGACTTCATCTGCCAGTGATGAGATCGCTTGCAAGGCCTCTTGGTAATTGCTCAAGTCGTCGACAACCATGCTGGGTACACTCGGGGTTGAAACAGAAGTAGACCAGTTGACCTGCTTTTCGCTCATGTGGCTGTACAGGCTCGGGTCCCTCTGCTTCATGGCGTTGATGTCACGGATGGCATTGGTACATACATGGTGCATCTGGACATTCCATTGCTTGTCCAGGAAGTCCTGTTCTCGAATGGCATCCTGTCGCGATGCATAATACTTGTGCTGACGGTCGCGGTCTTCATCACGCACCCGCTTCTGCTCCTGTAGAAGCAAACGCCGAGCACGCAGATGACCTGCGTGCTTTACCCACCTGTCCTTGCGGCTTTCGACCGTCTTTTTCGTCTGGACAGTTCTATCCCTGCGGTGCTTCTCTCTGTCCACTTTGGAGCAGGCACGTTCCAACGCGCCCTGGGAGAGAATGAAATCGAAGTGGGACTCGTACTTAGCGCGTCGCGCGCTGCTCTGAGCACGCTGCTGGCGCGCAGCCTCCCTGCGGCGTTGCTGCTCCAGCTGGGCCTTGATCCTCTCCTCTTGCAGGCGGTCCACTACAAGTACAGTGCGAGATGCGTCGAACACCCGGCGCCGTTCGCGCCTGTGGAGCTCATGAATGATGGCAAACTCACGTCTGCGATGCTGCATTTCGAAGTGCTCTCTTCGCACGTGCTCTTGCTGGGCCAGTTCGGTTTCTTGCCGACGGGCTTGCTGGATGGCAGCATACTCCACATCTCGAACTTCTTCTGCCTGGCGGTAGTAGTTCGCCAACATCTCCTCGAAGACTTTGCCCATGGGAATAGGAGAGTAGTCCGTCCAGCCGGAGTCGGCAGAGCCCGGCTTGGGAGTCGGCGATAGTGCTGAGGCCCAGTCAGAGCTGGCCGACAGGGGGCTCGGAGCTTGGGGCATCGGCGAGTTCGTGCGTGTGCTCTGCATCGAGACGGGGCGCAAGCTCTGCAAACGTGAAGGCATCCCACGGCCACGGGACTTTCGAGCTTGACCGACCATTGCCTGATTCGCACGCAAGGACTCTTGACGAGCCTTTGCAATCAACTCCTCGGCGGCTCGCCGCTCACTCAAGGCTATCGCAGCGACACCGGCAGAGTCAACCCTTCTCGATTCCGTAATTGGAGGTATGGCACCCGAAAGCTGCAGGTCCAAACAAATGCCACCAGCCTTCAAAGAATCTTCCTGCATGAAATCTGTCGGACTAACCTCTGACAGTGCCCGAGTGAACTTCTCGAACTGTTCTTTCTTGCGCTGCTCCAGCCGCTGCCGAAGATCCGTGCTGCGTGCTCTCATTGCTGCTGCCAGTGACAGGTATCCTATCTACGACCTACGACATCTACGCATCTCCTGCAATCCTTCACAGTCTTTATGAAGGCTTGGGCCAATGCCTACACAGAAAAGCTCAACAAAGCTCTCCAGAGCACATGCGCAAAGCGCAGCGGCCACACACAATAGCAGATAGCTTCGCTCCCGGAAGCCCCACCGCAATGCACCTGTGACCGACAACTCTGCCCTTCTACCCGCTACATTTCTTTGCACTTTCACTTGAGCCTGGCCTGCGGGATCCAAGAGTTTCAGTTGGGCACTCGATACATGCCACAGCTCAAGCAACGGTTGCTGGGCTTCCTCCACCCTGCAGAGGACTACCTCAGCCAAAGAAGCTACCATAGAGAGTATGCCCTTGGCTGGAAATGCACAACAAGCTCGGTGAGGGCTGGGCATGCCGCGAAGCCTCGTGAGGGCGCTGGGTCACACTGAAGCCCATGGCAGGCAAATTCAAAAGCGTGCAGCGCAATGCAAGCAAGCTGCTATCGCTGCACGAGCAAGATCTTGTGTGAACCAGGCCCATAGGGACCTGAGCACCGAGCTCCACTCCCTTTCGTCGGGCCGCTTCCCTTCGACCCTGAACGCAGCTGAGATTTCTGCATGAGCCCTCCGGAGTGCAAGTTGCCAGAGCACTCAACGGGCTGCTGCAACCAGTCATCCAGACAAGTACTTTTGCCTTCCCGCACCCCAAGAGGCTGACAGTTAGGCACTGAAAGATGCAAGCAGCACCCTGCAGTACATAAACGATCATGAAAGGGTGCCTTCTGCGAATTCCAACTTTCCGGCATCAACTTCTCTCGCCTTAGGAAACGCCGCATGTCGAAACCCGATCTCGAGACTCGCGAGCTCTCGAGCTGAGGGCAGGTCCAGAGATGCACCGGGGAAACCGCTCAGGCGCGCCCTGGCAACCCAGGCATGCGGCTCCTGCACCAGCAGCAAAACCTCACTGGGACAGAAATTGCCCTCCATGAGCTGATGATCAGCGACTGCGAGGCCGCCACAAGTCGGTGCCGATCCTTCGGGATGGCGAGACTTCGTCACAGGAAGGCACAAACTGGCACAAACACCGGCTGCTGGATTATGATGCTGGTTGCCTCCACTGTCCGCTTTTCCAGCAGGGCTGCAAGCTCCAGGCTTGAGACTGAGGCCTGAGAAAGTGATGGCGGCGAAGCTTGCGGCAACGTCCGGTCGCAGCTCGGGCTGAGACAACGTCGACGGAACAGTTCTCACGAATCCATCGCAGAGCCACCCTGTTGACAAAAAATCGCATGCAATCACTCTTGTAATTAACGTTCGCAGGGTGCCTGTCCATGCACGGCCTGTCGGGTTTGAAACAAGTTCCAGCACCCAGTCAAGCTATGCATTTTTATGAGACGACCAGCCTGACAGCCATGCCGAAACCCGCCAAAGCATCACAAACGACGATGCCTGCCCCGACGATACAAAGCTGTCAACAAAAGCCGCCAATCGTCCACACAAGTCTAGCCTGTAAACTTGCCACGGACGCGAGCATCCAGCAGCACGCGTGGGCCCACGTTCTCCTTGCATATGGCTCGTGAGATCTGTCGAATGCTTCAGAAGCTCGAGGCGATGTCCTCCAAGCCCGTTGTGGCCGGCAGCTTTAGCCGAGCCAGTTGATTCAGCCACGAATTCTGAGACGAACTCCTGCGGGCTTGACAAATCGGACCCCCAAGGTGGGCAAGCCCCTTCACGGAGGCCTCTGAAACCAGCTCTTCCAGCTCCACGTGGCCTGGCCAAGGTCTCCCGTGCCGGTGAACCTGGGCTCCAAAGGAAAATTCAATCGTGAGCTTTCTCTCCTCCAAGCTCCACGCGGGATGAAGTGCACCCCACCCTCTTCGGAGTTGCACGAGATCCAGCCTTGCCGGGTCACCCTCCGTCCTCCGCTCGCCCTACCTCCACACTCCGGACTGGGCCTTGCTCAGACTCCGAAAAGCTTTGGCTCTCCTTCACCAGAGCGGCCAAGAAAGACCAACACGCCAAAGCAAAGGCCCGCGCTTTTCGGCACTTCTCAAAAGGCCTCGTCGGCTGCCTCCACCAACTTCCGACCTGTCCAGGGGCAGGGCTCTCTCGCAGCCCGGAGCTCGGGAAGCTTCGGGCCCCTGGCATCTCAAGTAGCTGTGTGCCGAGAGGTCCGAGAGCGCAACCTCTCAGAAAGCGCGAAAACAACCGGAGGAAGTGTGTCGCCTCCAAGGATCAAGGATCAGCTGCAGCCCACGTGGCCGGCCGCTTCGGGAAGGGTGTGAAAGCCACCAGCTCCCCGGGCCCAATCACAGCCACGATCTCGCCTTCCGACTCTCGAATTTTCAGACGCTTTAAAGTGTTTTGCTGCATGGCTTGCAGTTGCCCGGCTCCAAGGATAGCACAGGTTTCAACTCGGAAGCGGATGAGCTCAGCATAGCTCAGCTATGGTCGGTTCTGATGTCCCTTCGGGCTCGCAGGTACACATGCGATCACGTGAGCAACTATACTGGTTCATGGTACGGTAAAGCCGCTGCCACACTTGAATTCCTGCAAAAGGCCACTGAGTGACCACTGACTATTGGCGATGGATATAGTGCATGCGGCGTGCACTGCTGACATCTGCTACCACAGCACCTGTGCCGGAAGTTTGCATAGAACAGGCTGCAGCGGCATTGTCACTTGCAGCCTGCTGATCTCCTGCGTTTTCACATAGCGCATCCCGGCCTTTGCCCCGCGGCGCTGTGCGGATGCTCAACGGAACCTGTGCTGCCCAACTGCTAACTGAAAGTGTCTCACTCTCCAACTGCTGCTTACTTGCGGCCTTGCAGACGCACTGCCATCGCTCAACTCCGGCCGCACCCATGTGCCTGCAGCCAACCAAGAAGCACCCAAAGACCGCAGTACTGAGGCACATTCCAGTCTTCACTTGTGGCGGCCAAGTTGAAACTACAACAGCAGCGCGCTTTTTGGTTCCGCAGGCTGTGCGTCAGGCGACCACGCAGGAAGGAAGTCTCGGTCCATCCGGCTACATGGTCTGCCCGCCTGGTGCAGTGCTCTTGTGAGATAGATGTTGCCGTAGACGTTAGCCGTGATCAGCATGCCCGCGTGCCACAGCATCGTTTTGTTCCAGTGCGCAGCTCCAGGGTCTTGTTCGAAGTGGCCTGCTTCAAAGTTCGCGGGGTCTCCATTTATGTATCTTCAGACTCGTCTGTCATCATGACGCCGCTTTGCAGCTCCTGCATCACAACTGGAATGAGCGAGAAGCTCGTGAAAAGCACCGAAAAAGAAGCAGATCTACGATCAGGCCCCACCTCCAAAAGAGAGGCAGCCTCGCCGCTGCTCTCCTCGTCCTTAAGGCAGCAAAGGGGGGTGTTTTTGAGGGCTTGGACGAGCGTGAATGTACAGCCCATATGGAAAAGGAAAACTCCGGGAGGACCAAGCCAAGAATCGAGGAGCATTGCTCGCAACGCATCCAAAGCTCCAGCTTCAACGACGGCCGCACGGGTCTCTGCATCGTTTCTGGCCAACGAGGCCAGAGTTGCCTCGCTGGACTTTGTAAAACTAGGTAACTGGTAACTAGGTAACTCGGGATTCAGTTCAGGACGACACGCTAGAATTCCAGAAACCACGCTCCCAACCATCAGATTCAGATGAGTCTCCGCTGCTTGTCGCCGTAGCCTGCCTGTGTCTGAAGAGAGTACAGGCACAAGGCGCTCGATAGCACCAGCACGACGCATCTGGCGGCAGCTGGCCTCGATTCATGTGCAGAATGAACATGCGCACATGAGCAGGCCATCCTTTAGGCCGGTTCTGCATCAAGTGCAACTAAGGCAGCTGCTGGAAGAGATGCCAGGTTGGACAAAGCAGCAGTTGCCCAAATGCGCCGCTTCTGGCTGTCCCCTCCCAGACACTTTAACAATGCGGGTGCGGCATTCGCCGCAGTCATCAGCTGTTTGTTACCTTCGTGGTTGGCTGAAAGATTGCACAAAGCGGATGCAGCTTCTTCTGCCTCCAACTCCTGGCTCGATAACAACATCGCAACCAAGGGCTGGATAGCACCCGAATGTGCAATCATCTGCTTGTTCTTCGGGCAGTTCACGGCCAAACGGCCAAGAGCAGCTGCAGCCCAGGCACGTTCTGTGCTGCACTGGGCACTCGAGGTTCCAAGCATTTGTACGAGGACAGGCACCGCGCCAGAACCAACTATGGTTTCTTGGTTAGATGAGCCGCTAACAGCTAAGCAGCCCAATGCAAAAGCTGCACGTTCACGCTCATCCAAGCTGCTGGATGATAGCATGAGCACCAACTTCGTGGCCTGCACCTTGTCTACATCGCAGCTGGCGTTGGCTGCCTGGGTTGCTAACCAAATCGCCTGCTGACACCTCGCAGGTCCCGAATCCTGGCCCTCGCAGTCTGCTGCCGCGCTCAACTTCTCGGCATCAATCGTCTGGCACGTCTGAAGGAGTTCGCGCTTCTGGCAAAAAACGACAAGCACCCATCGTTCTCCGCTTGTGACGGGAAGTGACTGATGCCACACCATGTGATCCAACATGCAGAAATCACCTGTCTCAATGGCATAATCTTTACTCCGGCCTTGGGCATCCCATATCCGCAAACCACCACCAGTATAGCTTGAACTGTGTAATTGCAAAATGAACGATGCATCCACATGGGGCCCGTCCACATGCCGAGTCAAGTGCGTCTCTCCTTCATGGGGCCGGTACCGAGTAACGAAGGTTTGCACACGATGTAGCTCACAAGCAGAAAACTCCGGATGTAAGGAGTGCCACCATGCGCACAGTTTTGCCGTCAATTCATCCAGCAAGGGTTGGAGAACCTCTTTCATTGGAATATGCACAACTGCGCCGGGCACCATTGCATCCGGGATGTCGTCCAGCTCTGCATAACATGAAATATTCCACCGGCCCTTCGCGTCCAGGTAAGATGTGTGACAAGGCGAATACGCAGTCTGTATAAGCGATGACAGAGCTTCGAGCTTGCCGCGCAAGCCGGTGCGAACCACGCAGTAGACACCCTTCTCGGCAACCGCTACACTCGCTGGCCGTCGGCGGCAGCACCGGCTGAAAGTCGAGATGCGCTTTCTTTTTGCGCCCATGGCTCAGTATTGGGTGTACAGCAACGAACCAACCGACTGAGGCGTGTCTGAATCCAACTGAAGTCTGCAAGTGCTCCTGTTGTCTAGCCAAGCTGTTATGTCGCCTGCTCATGGCTGCACCTCCGTCGGATCCGTCGGTTGTGGGGCACCCTCAGGTACGTTCAACTCACACCTAGCTGACACGGCAGAATGGTGCGACAAGAAGCAGAAACAACATGCAATTCCAAAAAAGGAAGTACAACAAGCGCGCACCCGGTGGCCTGGAAATTATTGCGGCGGCAATTGCGGCACGGCAACTTCTTTTCTCATGGGCTTAATGATGCTTTCATACTGTTGCATGCGCTGCTTACAGATCACTCAGACATACTCGGACATGATGACTCAACAGCTGTACTTTCCTGCTTGCAACATTCCAGTAGGTCCGGATGCACTGATTTGCATGCTTGGACATGTCCCTCCTGCATAAACACTCCGTGGCAGTGCGAACGTGCTTCCAAGCGCCACCCCAAAGAACATTTTAAACCTGTGTCTGTCTGTCTCTTGCTTGCTTGCATGCGGACAAGGGAAGTGCAGGCACCCGCCCCCACGCTCGAGCGTGCACCGAAGTCCTCGTCCTTCGTTGCTGCATATTCGATGAGGCACGTCCGGCCCCGGCAAAACCATTATTCCCCTTTACACTCTCTCTGTCTCTCTCTCTTTTTTCTTTCTTTCACCAAGCTCGAGTGGCGAACCCCCCGCTGGGGGCAGCCCGTTGTTGGCTGGAAGCACTGTATTAAGTGCGACAGACTAGTCTACTGGCATGGTGGCTGTTGTACCGAACACAAGGACTAGAAGAAGCTCAACTAAATCTCGCAGGGTAAAACATGCCACTGAGCTCCCACTGGGCAAATGTTCCGCCCCGGTACTGCCTTGCCCTTGACTACTTGTGCCTCGGGCCTGGCTAAGTTGCAAACCGAGTACTACATACTAAGATTTGCGAACTATTAGCCAGGGTGGGTACCGGGACTCCGCCGCCGCCCCGCGAAAGCAACAACAGTGGGGTTCTTTTTTTCTCTCTCTCTCTCTCTCTGTGTCTTTCTTTGTTTCTGCAGGGCGTAGGGGTCGTCAAGCTCTCTCTGTCTCTCTTTCTGGAATTGAAGGGGTTTGCAACAAACGACTTGTTGTTAATCAAGCCGGGATTACCAGCATCAGGAGGTTGGACCGAGTCTCATGGAGGTTTAGTTACATTGGTCTTCGGATCTTTTTCTCCACACATGTAATACACCTGCGGCTTGGTGTTGGTTTTCATGTTTTTCATGCCTTTTCTGCGCATATTATAGGCCTGCGCACTTTGCCCGACAGTGCAGATTCACGGGGGCCCAACATTATCCCTATCCGCTGCAAGGCTGCCATGTCCCGTGCCTGCTGTCAGCTCGGCCAGCCGGTGGGCAGCTGCTGAACAATCTCGTGCAGGATAAGTCTTGGCGTATTTTTCTGGATGAGACACGACAGGCCTGACAGGCAAGTCTGCACTGTGCCATCCGCTTGACGCCTGGGGACTTTGCTGCCAATCTTTTCTGAAGCCGAGGGCGGTGTGTGCACGCCGTTAACGTGCTCCGCCATTTGGTTGTCTAGGGCTTCGCGCCGCACTCCAGCGTGCCCTTCTCGGTACCAATTCGGGCTGAGCACGCGGGCGGGGACTAGGGCTTTGACGCGCGGCCTGCGCGCTGCCGTCGAGATCGACCCTCGAATAAATATTTGTTTAACAAGGATCTTTGCCGTCGATGCGTTTGGCCTTGGTCCCAGGTCTCGATACAGCCGCAACGAAAAATACGTTACGTTACACATCCCTTAACCGTTGATGGTATCTCAAAGCATTCGATCGCTTTGAGGAATACTGGAGCCGAAAACTTATCAGGCACGGAAACGCTTTCCCAGGTCGTGCGAGTAGCTGCTGTCTTAGACCACACAAAGCCCCAAGGTCGGTGTGTTTGTCAAATCAAGTTCCGCGCCAAGCCATCCGGGTCGGTCAAGTCCAAGACCTCATCCAGGGCCGGCACATCGGTAGGCGCCGGTCCCGGCATGACCCGGGCCGTTTAAGCACAAACTGCTCGCTGTGACAGTGGGGCGTTCGTGCCCGTGCCTGTGCAAGCAACCGGACAGCCGTGGTTGCTTCGACCGTGGTCACGCGATGCCACGTGAGACATCGAGCGGACGCCGGCAGCATACACCCCCAACGAAACATTGGGCTCAACCGCGTCAGTGGCCGTGCTGCGGCACGTCAGCCCGCCGTTGGACCTGATAACCACCTCGGCAAGCGCACCGGAATTGTTTTGCAGAAGCTTGCAAGACGTCCTGCACCGGTGACCACTCCACATCGCGTTCGTTAAGGGCTGGCACTGGCACCAAGGAGTTGGCTCACGGCGCGTCCCGCGCACGGAGGACGGCAACCACATTAGCCCAGGAAGCACTGCCAAAGCCGAGACCCTGCGGAGCGGCTGCAGGGGAAAACCTTTCTAAGCAATCAACATATGCGTTCAGGGCCGTGAGCACACAAGCGACATACGCACGCGCAGAAACGTCGCACACGTTGGCGCCAGGAGTCCCGATGTCAGACCGCCGACGCCTCGACCTCGTGGTGTACGGCATGTCGCCGCAAAGCCTCGCCCTGTGTTGCGATGCCGTGCTGGTTTGCCCCATCACCGGAGCGAGAACACATTCCCGGCATGGCCTCGCGCATGGTCGAGAGCTGCAACGCGCAACGTACTCGGAATGGAAACGCTGGGGCCGCCACCAATGCCTCTCTAGACGCGGGGCACGCCCATCACGATGGTACAGTAGCAGAAACCACGGACGACGAGACCTGAGGGTCGCCGAATCGAGGCAATGATCACGACGATGCGGCTGGCGCCGTCAACTCGCGCGGTGACCTGGGCCCGCCCGGCCCAGACCGCAGCGGCTCGTGGTGCTGGCATCCGACGTCGGTGGGCGCTAGGGCAGCGAAGCCACTATCATGCCCTCGGCCAGTGAAGCGGGGTCCTGGAACAACCATTATGGTCATTAAACCGGGCCTGAATTGGCTGCTTCCATGGCTTAATGCAAACCATTTCTTTTCTCGAACTTTTATGCCTGCACGCCGTCCATCCGAGGTTTATCTGCCTTTTAGTCCTACCCCTCTCGTCGGCCTGTTGTCACAACACGCGACTTATGAACGGTCCGTGGGTACACGAAATTTTCGGGTTCGTGGGTTCGCGGGCTCACGGGTTGACAGGTTTCCGGGTTGGCGGGTTGACAGGTTCGCGAGTTCGCGAGTTCACGGGTGGTTTCGGGTAGTATCTGCTATTGTTGAAGCCAGTGGACAAGCTCGAATGAGTTAGCCTGTAGCTCCAAGCTCCGTTCAGTTCCGAACCGTGGCTTTTGAAGGAGCGTGTGGAAGGGCAGCTACAGTGGCGGGGAGGAGCTGTCTTTACTGTTTCTGCCCGGCTGAATGTTGCGAACTTCTTGGCAAAACTCACGCTTGCTGAGGCCACTCCCTGGCGGCCAGGGCCTGGCCAGGCAGCCGCCGGCGGCCTCGTGCCGCCACTGGGTTCTTCCGAACGCAAACACACTTAGCAACAGCACGGGCAGTATCCACCACAACAACAACGCCATGATTCGAGGCCTTGGGATGCCTTGGGTGGAGATTTAGATGCAATATGATGCAATGTCGCGCAACATCATAGGGTCCACGGTTGGCTCCAAACACAGGGAGTGTTTACGGTTTTTGCTCATCATGCGCAGACTTGTAGAGGAGCGCATGTTTGCCGAGCACCAACAATTCGATGAGAGCATTGTCTTTTTTTTTGCGCGCCTTTTTACGACAGCGAAGAAAGTCCCGAGTCAGCCTACTGTGTGCGGGGCCGTCTGCACCCCGCGTTGCGCGCTCAGAGTCGACTGGGCGCCGGGGGCTGATGGCCCGCCAGGAGCTCCCCGAGTGGGGGTTCCAGGCCGTCCGTTGGGTCACCAGGCCCCGCGATGGGTAGCTCGAGCAATGAGCACGCATGCGCGCGTAGGGCGGCGAACGATGCAAGCGCCGTCCAGCGGTGCGTCATGGCTCGCTGCGCTCCGACCGCACACCACGGCGCCCTTTGGAGGGCCAGCGCCTTCGCGAGCACTCGCAAGAAGGTGAGCGTGTTCGGGCTGATGCGCCCTCCGACCTCGACGCCGAACACGACCAGTCGGCAGCGCCGGGCTTGTCTCAGTTCAGGGTAAGTCCGGGGTTTGCGTTCGACTGCTTGTGCCAAGGCGAGGCCCGGTTGCTGGTCAGCCCGCGGGCGGGGCTGGCCATTCCGGCGGACCGGGCTTACAAGGGTTGCGTCAACGGCGACGTGGGCGCCCTGCCATAGGGGGAGGCCGTTGGCGACCACCTCGATGCGGCGTCCGTCGCTCGCGGGCACGTCGAGGTTGAGGTCTCTGAGGGCGACGTGCGTTGCGACGCGGGCACCAGCCTCCCTGCAGATGCGAGCCGCTGCCCGCTCCAAGGGGCCAGCTCGTCGCGCCAGGACACCCACCTGTGCGCAGGCCGACCGGTGGTCGCCGTATGCGTCCAGGGGACCCCCGCAAGCAGCGCTTCGGGGCGAGCGGGAGGGGCAGGCGGAGTCTGCGGAGCAGCATCACTCGGAACTCCGCGTCCGGTACTCCCGTGAAGGCACAGCTCGCGGCATCGCCACCTTGCGATAGCAGCAGCGCTCGGGACGCAGGGTCAAGCTCAGTGAAAAGCGTCTCGAGCACGCGCTTGTGCAGGGCTTTTGATGCCGTTCGCTGCCATCCCGGTCTTTCTCCTGGGGCAGGGCGGGTGGTGAGGCCGGCGGGGGCGGCGCCATCCTCCTCCAGCAGTTGTGCCCAGGTTGGCGCGGGGAAGCCGCCCAAGCGCAGGACGCGGGCGGCCTGTTCCGCTGCTCGCGTGCGGGGGGGGGTTCCGCTGGCCGTCGCGTCCAGCAGTGGGCGGAGGAAGTTGGCCAAAACGCCCGGTTGGTGCTGCC